CGGGGCTGTCGTCTTCTCCTCGGTCGAGTTGCCGTACGAGGACCTCCTGCGTCAGGAGCTGAGGGCCGTGAAAAAGCGGTTCCTCCAAGAAAACGACTGTCTCACCGAGGAGCGTCTGGAGCGTTTTTTAAAGAAAGCCCTGGAGGCCAGTAATTATGGGGTTTCTATTTTGAATAACGCCTCTGCCAACTGGAACTGGGATTTCACCTCAGCGCTTTTCTTTGCCAGCACGGTGCTGTCCACCACAGGTAGGTCACCGATCAGACTCCAGGATGCTCTCTGGTGCTGCAGGCCAGCAGGTGCGCAGCGAAATATTACATATTATTGGGTCTGCAGGGGCCCCCCTTTTGGGGGACTTGTTAAGATCCAAATAAACAAACAAAACAAAAATCACGTTTTTGTTTGTTTACCTCTTTTTCACTTAACCTAAACTAGTCCTACATATTTGATTTGTCATATAAGAGTAATCCGTTTCACCCTTTCACCGTAACTGCTACCCTTTTGACTATGCCTTTCTTCGGTTTGTTAAATCTGAAATTAATATCTAAATTTCTTTATTTGATTTTCTGTGTTTGCTGTTCTTGCTTATGTAAAGCACTTTAAATTGCCTTTATGTTTGAAATATGCTATACAAGTAAAGCTGCCTTGCCTTTTGTACATGAAATATTTATTATCTACTTCCATGCATCTTATATTCCAACTTATAGACTCTGTTACATGCTAAAATTATTCGGTCATATGACATCTAGATGGTTTTTCAACAAGGTGCACAGACTTTTTCTTTATCTTGAATATTTTGAATTTTGAATCTCGAGTATTTCGAATTTTGAAGTATTTCTGTGGACAGTTAAATAAATTATCTATTCTATCCCACTGTTGCACTAAGGAGTTAGGCTTGCAGGTTTCTTCAGTCCTGACCTGTTCTTCAAGTCTGATAGTTAGACGAAGAATAATCCGACCACATGGTAGCAATTATCCAAGGTTGCAACATGCATACCTGTTATTCCCCTGTTACCATTGCTGTATAGCTGCAACAGATCATGCAGTTATATTTTACAAAATTACAAATTATATTTACTAAAACCATGGGGGCATTGCTTCTAAAAAGACAAATAAATAACAAGCAAATGCGAAGGTATATTCTTGACAACTCGACCAACAAATAAACAATACTTTCGTCATTTTCAAACTCATTCAAGTGGGTTGTGAATGAAAACAGTTGGATATATCTTTGTCTATTTTTTTGTTTATTTCCCTATTGGGTTGATTTCAGCACAAACAAATGTTCATCCAATTTATCAAGTATCAAGAACAATCATAGAAATACCATTAGGAATCCGAATTACAACACAAATAAATAAATACATAAAAAACTGAAGGAATCGGTCAGAGTTAAAACCAAACTATCAGAAAAATCTGTTGCTTTCAAACTGTGTCAAAGCCTCCAGCTCTTGTGTCTAATATTAGCGTCGATGAACTAACTAAACTTCCCACTTATGGATATTTCTGAGAGATATGTGGAAGCTAGTCGAAAATAATTTCATGTGCAATTAACTGCAGGCAAAGACTACTTTTTTTAAGCCTCAGTTTTTGTAACTGAAACTCTTTTATTCCCCACCAGGGTACGGTCACACGGCACCACTGTCAGATGGCGGCAAGGCATTCTGCATCATTTACTCTGTAATTGGTATCCCCTTCACCCTCCTCTTCCTCACCGCTGTGGTGCAAAGGATCATGGTTTTCAGCACGCGTAGGCCAGTTGGATACATCCACACTCGCTGGGGTCTGTCAAAGCCACTTGTGGCCATCGTCCACGCCACTGTGTTGGCCATGCTGGCAGTCTCGTGCTTTTTCCTCATCCCTGCTGCCATTTTCTCAGCCCTGGAGGAGAACTGGAACTTCTTGGAGTCCTTCTACTTCTGCTTTATTAGCCTTAGCACCATCGGCCTTGGAGATTATGTACCTGGAGAGGCTGCTAACCAGAAGTTTAGGGAACTTTACAAAGTGGGGATCACTGGTGAGTACTGTTGAGTCTTTTAGACCAGGGATTTGAACTGTTAACGTCTTAAATGAATTGCTTTTACCAAGTGGTACAATAAATTGGTTTAATGGTTAGGTTGGTTTATTTGTTGGTCTCATTAGTTCTAATACTGTTTTATTTTTCATTACATGGTAAATTGGCATTAAGATTGTTATCGGTCAATGTTGGTAATTTTTTAGCATTCGGTTTGATAATTAGAACTAGGCCAATTTAATGAATAACATCAGCGGATATCGATCTTATTGCAGAGATATTGTGCATCCCTTCTTGTATTATCATTAAAATAATGAAATTACAACATCAGGAAATATCAGTTATTGTACAAAACAGCTATATAAATATTGGATATCGATATTGGCACGATATTTTGTCAACTTCTGTTTTTCAGGGCCAAAGTCATGCTTGAAACTGTTGTTCACACTAATGCCCCTTTTTCCAACAGCCTCACTCAGCATGACTCAAATGGGTTTGGTCTGGTTGGACCATCTTTCCCAACAACACAAATCCGTTTCAGTACCTGCTTTGATATGGTTCCATGCGTACCAAGCCAGTGCCAAAAATGTGACGTCAGTGATTTTTGGTTGGTAATTGGTTAGGGGGTGGAGTCACTGGTTGCTCCAGAGTTAATGGCCTGCCGTTTTGTTGCCGTTTCTTAATTTAGAGTGTGAAAAAAAAAGCATCACTGCCATTTTTGTGCTTTTTGACTTACAGATCACTTCGCACGACTTTTGTGTCAGGTACAGATAACTTCAAGCCACCCACTGTAACAAGTGTACCCACTAGAGCCGTGCCTCAGTTTGACTTGGAAAAAGCAACCCGCTCTGGGCTGAGTCAAGCTGTGTTCAGTAAGGGGACACGAATAAACAATTTCTAACTTGAACTAGGAAACCTCCACCAAACCTCCCTACATGTCCCATGTAGAGTTTGTCACTGTGATTAATGTATAGCTGGTTCTGTTGAGTGACAAGCTCCTAATTTCTTAGAATCAGAGTTGTAAAAGGTTACAGTTATAAAATTTATCACCACTGGTAGATTTTATGGTGTGAGATTTGACCTGAACATGTATGACGCAACCATCCGAATCTGTTTCTTGAGTCCTTTTTGCAAAAGCCTGCATTATACCAGAGTGGTAGGTTCTGTACATGAAATAAATATATACTCTATTAAAGGGACTATAAGGAAGTTTGACAGCCAAAACATGTATAGAAATAATAAATTTCTTCTTCATACATTCTCCTGCAATGCCCTGGTCCTGTAGAATGAGCCCTGACATTTTTACTGTGATTGCCTGTTTTTCTGTAAAATCACAGAAAAAGAGAGCTGCTCGGGTCGAGCAGGCTGCTTCATGCGCGTTCACGCTCAGGCATCGCCCGTAGCATTTGCTATCGGTAGCTTTAGCAGCAGAGAGTGAGGTAGTGCCAACTCAGCGACTTTGTCGCTGTTCCTAACACCTAGTGATGAACCTAGCTACATTTCTGAGGACCCTTAGCTACTTTCTGTAGAACTTTCTTCTAGATATTTCCTGCAAATTAGCAACAAAATAGCCATTTTCGCTCTGAACCATTCTTTGGTTTGACGTTGTTTCAGCTGGCATCAAGGATATAAAAGTTGAAGATACTTTGATGGTGTGTAGCTTACCTTGTAAGATGTCTTACTCCCATGCAGAAGACCTGGGTTCGATTCTTGATGTGAACATAGTTCATTTAGAGTTTCTTTTTTACATTAATGGTATATTCTTTTACAGTAAGATGCCCAAATTTTTATTTGAGACTCGCCAAACGGAATTGAATTCACAGATAAAAAACATGTGGGTTCAACTTTCATTTTGGAACAATTTCTCAAGCAAGGGAAGGGAATGATCTGAGCATGCAGGAAGACTGACCCATCATAAACCTTTGTCGGCTGTGCTGAAGAGAAAGGTACAGAACCAAATTATTTAAATAATTAGTTGTACGTTCTCCTGTCCTCTGTCCTCCGGGCCACACACACACACACACACACACACACACACACACACACACACACACACACACACACACACACACACACACACACACACACACACACACACACACACGGGGGACTGTCTCAGCTGTTATTTTCGTTAAGGAGTGTGCACGTACAGCATGCGCGCCTCGCGCACGAGCCTACTATTGAAGCTGCCGTTACGCTTTTGGCCTGAGGGGGCAATCGCGAGCATAAAAATTCAAAACTCCGTAAAGTCCCTTTAAAATCAGTGACAGTAAACCCTGCACAAAATTCATGGTTTAGGGACATGGGCTACTGCTTCTGGTCCAGATGTGTCTCCAATTAAAGGTGTGGAACACTGAAAACACATTTTTAATGAATACTTTTGATTATAATTGGTCACTCTGTGCTTTCCGTGCTGTCTGAACATGAAATAGTCTTCTATATCTATCTCCTGTAGGGCTGCTCAATTAATCGAATTTTAATCACGATTACGATCTGAGTTTTGAACGATTATAAAAACAAAACAAGCCGATTATTTGCTCCTCCCGCTTGCGCTGCCCTGAGTTGCAAATGAAGCGCTCCTCATAGTGTTGCCAACTTAGCGACTTTGACGCTATTTCTAGCAGCTTTTCAGACCCCCTTCTTGACTTTTTAATCCTAAAAGTACCTAGCGAACATCTCAGAAACATCTCTGGTAACCCTTAGCTACTTTCTGGATAACGGTCGTCGACATTTCCTGCAGGTTAGCTAAACACTCCGCCTGAGCTCCGGACCGTTCTTCACAACATTAGAAAGGGAATGATGTAGTGATGTGTCGGTCGCTAAAGACAGCTCTCGGAGCCGGCTCCTTGTTGGATTAACCAGAGTGAGTGACACACACACCGCACCTGCGGACTCCTGAGCAGCTAAAAACAGCTAAATGTGCGCGTGCAGCGCGCTAAACACACGTGCAGCTTGCCCGATTGCTGTGAGACCGGGTTGGGGGGTGGGGGGTGCAGCTGTGGTTGGGACAATTATTACATTAACTGATGGACTTGTAAATAAATAGTTTATAAATAAGGTAGAAATAAGTTCCTCACGCTGATAACTAATAACTAACCTCTCTGAGGACACGGTGCTCCTACAGCACCTTGACACGACTCAATAAATGTTATGCAACATTTTGTGAACATCAATTTATTTGCATTTATTTGTTATAAATGCCACTGTATAATTCTTGCTGTCAGTATTTGCAAGATATTGGTATTTGGTTCTGTACTGGTTAGACTTAAATGAGTTAAACCAAGGTCTATAGCCCTTGGGTCATAAACTATGAGCTATAAGTATATTGGTCTTTTATACTGGGAATCAGGAGTTATTTTAGTGATCATCTTGTTTCTTATTTTTGTCCTAATTGTGCCCTGAGCAATTTTATGACTGAATAAAAACAAATAAAATCATCATAAATTGAAAAATCGTCCTAAATAATCGTGATCTCAATTTCAGTCACAAAAATCGTGATTATTATTTTTGCCATAATCGAGCAGCCCTAATCTCCTGCATTAGCTTCTGAAACGTTGGGATTTGAAAAGCCTGCCAGATCTATGTCACACTGTCACTGAACATTTATGGACGCACCCATCTTGACAACGGGGAAGGCTGTTTGGTTTAGCATCCAGGAAACAGCAGAAAACATCTTGGCTAGAAGAAGCTAATTGTTAGCATTAGCAGCCCCACAACACAGCAGACCTCCTCCAGGCTTATGTTATTTGTGGAGATAAAACATCAATGTTGCAGAGCAAAGTGAGTCAGTGGCAGAGCCGTGTTACTGTTACCCCCAAATTCCACTACCTCCGCTCCGGTCCGCCCCGCCTTCCGCAGCCGCTCGCTTCCGAACTCAATTTTTCTTGGTACCCGCTCTACAACGGCTCCGCTCCGGTGCGGAGACCTGAGGGGGGAAAACAAGCATGCGCGGGATTTTCAAGATCTTGCAATACAGTCCGAGCAATAAACGCGGAAGTTAGATCCAAACACCCGTTGTGTGGGAGAAGCATCGGCGTGAGCTGTTTAATCTGCCCATCATTTGTGTTGAGAGATCAGCAGTGTTTGGATCAACAAAGTGTGACTGCTTTGATAGTAGAAACTGTATTTATGGCTTACTTTTGTGCATTTAAACTTCAGCCGCCATTGGTAGTTGTTAAAAGTTGTTAAACCTGTGCATATGAAACAAAAAACGCCTTTTGTTTATCGATTTATTGTGAAAAACGGAAGTTGTGCTTGCTCCTTTTCCTGTTGGGCGGTTGTGATTTCTGTCCATTGACTGCGGAGGTGCTCCGGCGTCCGGCGAAAATAGGCTCGATTCTATTTTTGCCGGACGCCGGAACAGAGGGCGGCGCACGGTGCCGCACTGCCGGAGCACGGCCGCAGTAGTGGAATTGCTCTGATTGACTACAATGGGACCGATTTTGCTCCGGCGTTAGTGTTGGAGCGGAGCAGAGGTAGTGGAATTTGGGGGTTAGCGAGTTCGAGGCGAGATGTTCAAATTTCAGGAAATAAGACTCCAAATCCTGCCGTGTGAGGCTACTTTGTCCTCCAGCTGACTTTTACCTCCTGAAACAGAGGCGTCTTAGGTTTCGCGACATCCTTGCCCATGAGGAAAGCTACTCTGACATCACACATGTGACCTGTGTTTATAGTGACTTGTTTTTTCAAGCTCAGTCACTGCTCTATGTAGAAGACCACAGGCGAAGGACGACGTTAAGGACGGTCATCCCCCACCACCTAGCTTTTCCACGTACAAGAAATGTTTTACAGTAAAGACGCAGGTGATTTGGTGAACCACTGCCCCCTACAGGCTTGACATGCCTGATAATGTGCTTCACAAACCAGGAGGTGTGGACCCAGGTTTTTTTTCCTAGACGAGCGGGGGATGATCGGTTCAATAAAAACTTGACTATGTGTGAACTACATAATTTAAAATTGTCCTTGAGTCCAAGAATGCTCCACTGCAAATTAGCACCAAAAAATCCCAACACTTTTCCAGGTCTTTGAACTTCCCACTGCTAACTGCTAATGTAAACAAAAGGGATGTCTTCTGTGTCTCCATATTTATTTAAAATATTGAAAGCCAAACTCAAGCTAAACACAAAACTTGCTGTGATTCTCAAACAGCAGCCCAGCTCACACGTGGTGCCGCAAATTCAACAAAAGGCACATTTCCAAACCATATCAAGCTCATTAAAAGTGTCGCTGAGACAGCAGCGTTTGATATTTTCCTTCTGTGTTTGAGGCCAAGAGGGTGTTGTTGTGCTGAAATTGGGCCACAGTCCACTAAAAGCAGCCAGGCATCATGACTTCATTTTCTGAGTGGCTTGTTCGCCGTGCTGTTAGCAGCACTGTAGGGTCTAACGGTGTCGGCAGTAAAACGCAGTTTGAAATCACAGGATCTCAGCGAGCTGTGAGTGAGGATGAACGTCGAGCGTGAATGCCAGACGGGGGCGAGGGCTGCGCAGCAGCCTGAGAGCTGACGTCAGCCAGGAGGAACAACGTGGAGGATAAGAATGGGGCTATGACAAAATGTGTCTGTTAGAACCCCACACATACTTCTGCAACTTCGTTTTACACAGAATGACATGCCTGTTTGGGAAGTGACATCATCTTTTACTGCACAAATAGGACATGACTGCATTTGTTCTAAATGCTGAAGTTATTTAGTTTGTTTATGTTGTGTGCATCTGCATCACAACACCTTTAATTTATCAAAAATACGCGTCTGCTTCCTTACAATCCTGCAGCAAAAACTCAAAATAAGAAATTGGTCAATTCAGACCTGACATCAGACTTTTTTCTGTAATCCTGCTCCACGGATTAACGCCCTTTGTTCTGTTCTATGAACAGCTCTCTACTGCCCCCCTGAGTCCATTTAGAAAACAGCAGATTAACAACAGGATTAATTTATTTATTGCTTGCTCACTTTTTTCTCCCCATAAAACAATAAAAACACATCATAAATGATTATTCTCTTAGGTCTTGCTGCGTCTAACATCAGTTTATGATTTTAACCACTTCCTGTGCATTTGTGCCCTTTCAGTCTACCTGATCCTGGGTCTGATTGTCATGCTGGTGGTGCTGGAGACCTTCTGCGAGCTGCAGCAGCTGAAGCAGCTCAGGAATATGTTCTACCTAAAGAAGGACAAGCCACAGGACCACCTCGCCATTTTGGAGCACGACCACCTGTCCTTCACCACAGTGTCCGACAGCAACGCCACCAACTCTGAGAATAAAAACCAAATGTTTGTTAGCGTCCCAAATCCGGCCTCTCCCATCGACGACCCTATGATCCAGTAACAAGCATCAGAGTCACAGATGAAGACGATTCGCTCGTGCTGAATTCGTCGTGAGTAGATTGCAGCTTTATTTGCGACACTTTATAATCTGAAACGGACAAATTGCTCAGACAAAGCTAACGATCTTCTTTACTGAACCACGATACTGACAGCAGCAGAGACCGTATTTATCTACATAATAAGGCAGAAATGAATATTTTAAGTTAGAATATAAAAATAAAAGTCTTCTGCTGTTTTTAGGACTCACAAAAGCCAAGCGCCTTTAAGAGCTGCATTATTTATAACACAGTTAGGAATATTTGATGAAGGAATTCGGCTCTTGAATACCGCTGAAATGTGGGACGATTTCCCATCTCAAAAGTGGCGTATCTTATAAATAAGAGTTTCTTGGTGATTAGTTGGAATAGATCATTAGTAATTAGGTGGTTTTAAATCAAGTCAAAATATAAAGAAAACAAAAAGAAAAAAATGAGGTCTTTTTTTATCATGTGTTCATATTTTTGAGGCATTTCTCCTACTTATCTGTGTCATTGATCTAATTTATCAACGGCTGCTGCATTCAGACAGGAAATCAATGAGATTTTATTTAAAATATGTATTCATTGGGTCTTTTTTTTAAGTTAATCCTCCCGCTGTCCTAATGGGTGTGACCCCGCGAGGAAAGTTGACCTTTGAGCAGGGTTGATGGTTTATCCCTTGAGGTCCATGTGGCAGGGGTGAGGAGTGAGCACCACCTCACCCCTGCCACATGGACCTCAAGGGATAAACCATCAGTCCTGCTCTATGGTCAACTTTCCTCTCGGGGTCACCCATGAAGACAATGGGAGGGTTAAACAGGTTGCAGCTGTGCATTCTCTTCAGCCATACTGCATCCAGTGTTGACTTATTCATTGATTTCGCTTGTTTTTTTGGTAATATTTAACGTGACCCAATTTGGAAAGGGAGAAAACGTTTGATGGACTAGTTCCACATTTTTTTCACTAAATACTGAATAACAATCAGAAAATACCAGATTAAAGTGAGATCAAGGAAGCTGCTAACTGAAAAAAAAAAAAAAAAAAAAAAGAGCCGAGACATTTATTTTAGTCGTTTTCTGGCTGATTCTTACCTTGGTTGTCTAGAGGTTCTGTATGTCTCATTACTAGGAGAAATAATGCATTCCTGACCTGAACATGTTGCAGTGTGGTGTCGGTTTCGTCCATGTGTGAAGAGCTATGGATTAGCCTGAAGAGTTTAATGACCATGGAAAAAGGGAGACCGGTCTGTTTCTACTGTACAGTGGAATTTGCACATGAGACGTGGTCAGTATTTACAGAAGCGGTTTGAAAACTGGATCATTTTATTTGCGTATTTATGAATCCGTCTTTAAAGGGAAAAGATCAGGACTACGATTTTACTGTATTTTAACAAACTGAATGTAAAAATGTCTTTTTGTTTTGTTTATGATGTGGAAAGTTTACGACTTGTTTTAATTAAAGAAGCAACGAATGGTACCTTCAAAAACTTGAAATGATTAATCCAAGCTGGAGTTCAGAATATGTACAATTTTTGAAAATGTGATCACAAACAACTGAGACAATGTTTTTCAGTAACCCTTCAGAGTTGTAGACGTACAGCCACACAAGTACAGGTCAAACTGGAAAAATGACAACATGGTGCAAAAGTCAATTTATTTCAGTAATTCATCGTAGACTGAGAGACCATTTAAAGGTGCAGTATGTAAGAATGTAGTGAGAATTTTACAGTGAGAAAATCCCAAAAGAGTCTAATGTTTCAGTCATTTTGGAAGGAAGGCTATACTGAAACATAATTCATATCCAGCTGACTGTGGGGATTGTCAGTTTTTCTCCTTTCAAAACAAAAGAAGGAGGGACTAACTCCTGTTTACCATCCGTGAGTGTGGGGTTGCCGTGTCTCCGGTGAGCTAATACTGCAGCGCCGACATTGGTAATTTGACAAAGGCTGGCAAAAAGCTCCAGAGTTGTTTAAAGTGGTTGCAGTAACCAAATTTTACCACAGGATGTTATTTTGACTTCTTTTCTACATAATGCACCTTTAAAATGACACTGAGCGGTGTCCTGCTACTCTGCCCTATTGCAAAGGGCAATTACAACTGTTGTAAACAACCTTGCTGCAGCCTGCTGTAGCTAGCACTAACAACAAGCTAACTAATACTAAAATAAAATGCAAAGTAAAAAGGTCCACACTGTTGGTCAAAAATATTACTTACAAGTCCAGTTGCAACAAAGCTAGGTCATCATCAGTTTGTAACTTTGTAGCCTCCTTTAGCTCCCTCAAATTAGCATAGGCTGCACCGATGTTCACACTGGTTCTGGCAATTTGCTTAGCCTCCAAAAACATTACAAACTTATTTTTAATTCAAAGCTCTTATGTTAATGACAACAAAAAAAAGGAAACTTCTTTTTCTTCTTGGGCTTTTTATTTATGATCAGCAAACTGAGAAAGCTAACTGCTAGCAAAACAGCTAACAGTCATAAAGCAGGTAAAGAGCTCCCCCTATAGAGCTCTGACCAGCAGAGGAATGGTGTCAAATATGAAACTGGTCAAGTTTCTAACGCAACAATTACTGAGATCAAAGATGCGAACGCTTTTGCTTAAAAAACATTTAGTGTTATTTTAAAGGCTCAGGAACCCTTTGCAGGTGTTTTGGATCAGTTCACTGATTAGATTGGGACACTTTGAGCCTAGAATATTCAACTTTTTCACAATATTCTTATTATCTGAAATTTTGAATTTTGGGTTTCTATAAGCCATAATCATCACAGTTATAACAAACAAAGGCTTGAAGTTTCTGGCTTTGCATGTAATGAGTGTATCTCATATAATAGTTTCACCTTTTACGATGAATTACTGAACTAAATTACCTTTTGCGCCATATTCTAATTTTCCAGATTCACCTGTGATGTGCAGCACTCCACTAATGAAAATGAAATTGATCTTGATCCAAATGATCTTGAATTCTAAGCTCCGTCTTACTACTGAGGTCATTTAAAGTTTAAATTTGCTGCAGCGACTTTGACCGCATCACCTGTTGAAGTCACTTACCAGCTTCAGGTGCATTCCTATAAAGATCCCATTTGTTATACAAACCAATTAGTATTTCCCACAAATTGCATCAGAGAAGGTTGACATACGAAGGTGATGATGTCACATTGCATCAGCATCTTGCTTTTGGGTTTATGAGCAGCTTCAGAATAATCTCAGTCCAGTCTCGCTTCTGTGTCATAATTGGTCCTTTTTTTTTCAACTAAAAATGTAAAACTGAAACAACTGGAGGGCATTTGGTGACATTTTAGCCATATAAATTACAAATGCTCCTTTTAAGTTCACCTAACTTAGCTTCAGCCTCTATTTTCATCGGCGTTTGTATTTTTCTGTGAAGCGTTGAAAGGGTTAGAAACGTGCCTGACATTCCTGGAATCCTCTTGGCTTTTATTTGATGCTTTTTACTTCTAACCATCGTTGGCCTTCATGCACAACTGTGAGACATCGATTCTGTTCCTATTTTCCGCTGTCCAGATGGGAAATTTAACATTTTTTAAAAACTTTTACTGTAAATCGGTCCATGTCTACTTAGGCTTTGTTCCTGCAAAGTCACCTCTCACATCGGACGTGAACGCTGTAAGATAAAGTAGTTTGTGTGATTACAAACAGCATGCACCAATATTATTTATTAATGCTGAGAAAGTGAATATGTGGATCCATGCGTTTTTGTACATATCTTGTCATTTGTTGTGGTGGATGCCATAGATTCCTACGGTTAAGTATTTCACTGTTACAACACCCATATTGTGCTACAGGACTGTCACTGCAAGGGTTAACAAAAAGCTGTAAAATGTCAGTGCGTCTGAAATAAAACTGGTTTATAATTATTTCATGTGACCTGTTTCTTCAATTATTTCAGTAGTTTTTCTCCCCAGAGCCGCTGCGTTCTAAATGCTGAGAAGATAACGTTGCTGGCAGTTGTTACGATGATGCGAAACGTGCTCTAATAGCAGAATCAGCTCCTCGTGTGTGATTGACTAACAGGAAATGAACGTAAACGTCTCAAACGTGAATATTACTGCCGGACAAACGCCAGGCGTCTGTGCTCACGCTTCCACTTGAATGAATTGGAAATAAGAGGAGAACAAATGGTAACGAAAGCAATTATCTGCAGGGACTTGTGTAGCTTTAAAGCTGCTACTCGAATACGCTCCTTTAGCCTTTCATCTCCTTAGATCTGAAAACGGAGGTGGAGGTTCGGCACATCCTTGTTGCTGCCACAGGAGACCAGTCATTGACGTTGGAGGGTTTGGAAATCACAGCCAGTGATTAACTGGAAATGATTTCTTACATTAATCAGAAGCACTTGGTAGGAGAGAGGTCATAATTATCCGTTAGGAGATGATGGATGTACAAAAATAATTACACTAATAATAAAGTTGCTGGGTAGGACTGGAATTTAAAAGAAAAGCAAACTTCAACCTCATCATTCACCTCTGAGGGTTATTGTGTGTAGCAGCTACCGGGGCAAAGAGAATATGGAGGTAAGGAAAGGAAACTTGTTAGTCCAAAGCTTTTGTTTTATTCAGCAGCTGTGTTCCTTATCAAAGAGAGGTGTAATTAACTCTGGCATGCAGGCGCTTCTCCCTGCAGAACCACTGAGCCAACATCCATATTGTCAAGTTTATCGGAGAAGGCGGCTCTAGAAGCTTGCCAGCAGCAAGTATTTATTGGATGCATGTTGTGAAAACAAGATTAGCTGTAATTGGAAAAAAGTGTCAAAGAGCTCCTGATTTGTGACAGCACAAGTGCAATACATCCATTATCAGCTCCTGTGTCTGCTCCATCTTGTGTCCTTTTACAGCAACCAATTTCACCAATTTAATAGGATTAAACATTGTTTTTTAAGGTTTTGTACCTGATTTGGTTTTATTTATTGTCTCCATTTTAAATGTATCCCCAGAAATGAGACGAACGCAGTAAAAAAAAGGGGTTGAAATTAAAGAAGCAGTGACTGCATAGTGAGCATGAGCAGGATCTGCAACAATTATAAGTAACCAAAAATAAATTCTCTTGACCCAGATTTGGATGGGTTGAAGAGAATGGATGGATGGAGATGGATGGATGGACAGATGGTTGGATGGATAGGTGAACAAAAAGAATAAATGGATGGAGGACTGATGGACGGACAGATGGATGGATGGATCAATCGACAGATGGATGGAGATGGATAGACGAATAATGAATGGGTTGATAGACAGACAGACAGACAGACATAAAGGTCAAGCATTATTTCAGGAAATGCATTTTGCCGTTTTTATGCAGAGGTTTACGCTGACATCATCTCAGGCTGTGAAGTGATAGAGTTGTAACAGTTTGGGTGAAATCTTCAGAGCACGTGTGGTGAACGGCTTTCTGCTTTCACTGCAAACTCTTAGCTGTGACACTGACTGGGTTATAGCCATTTTATGGGTTTGCTGTGGCAGCCATCATTAATCGGTTGTAGATGTGCATGAAGTTCTCTTCAAATCAGCCCAGTGGTTGATGAGATATTTCACTAACACTAGGTGTACGGGACCGAACAGGCTCTTGCCCTCAAGGCTTGTCTCTACACACCCGAGTGAAACTTTGCCGCAGCATGCGATCATTAAAATTGCTTTTTGATCTTTCTGTAGGCTCGGTGCAGGAAACTACCTGATCTTTAAAAATACATTTAAAAAGACTCAGATCTATCTCAAAATGTTCAATCCAAAAGAGAACACAATCAAAGGCACTCATTAAGAGTAACCATGTAACAGCAGACCCATTAAAGGAGGAATACTTGCATCCGTGCAAAGTTGCATCACACTGCTCCATCTCTCAAGAGGCATGCACGTTGCTGGAGCCCCCCAGGGTTCGTTGTGTGAGTCTTGACATTTCATCAGTCAGGTCTGCTGTTTCTTACGCCACTCACCCCATATGGTACTAGCGATACTGCCACTTCTGGGTCACCCAGGACAGGGAGTGGGAGTGGGTTAGGCAAGAATCTACCCTTTAGCATAGCTTTCTGATGGTGGAGCAGCTCTATTTATATCTGCACACACACTGGGACTGTGCGAATGCAGGAGGCCTGGAGCACTAATGCTCCTCTCCCCTCAACTAACTGCTCTCAGTGTGAGCATCGTTTGTTCTGGCTGCAAGTATGAAACGAAGGCACAGAGAGACACGGCGGTCTGATATGCAGCGATGAATCCACCCGCTTGTAAAGAAGACTGGACAGAAAGCATCTTGCAGGAAATGCGTGCACGCTGCCCCAGTTTGTGTTGTGTTGAAAGTATAAGAGGTGCAACAAACTGACAGAGAGAAGGGGAGAGGAAAGAAGGGGGGAGCAGGGAGATGTTGCTACAGCGACAGGCTGCAACTCTCTGATAACTGTTTTGCAGTTTTCTCTGCAAAGTGGGATGGAGATAAATCAAAAACATCAAAACCCCATAAAATCAGCTCCAATTCTGTTTCAGACAAAGAAAACACTTTAGCAATTAGTGCAGAGTATGAAAATATGAGGGAAGAGCTGGCAGGAAAAAAGCAAAGAATTCCTGCAGTTCGTGACTCGTGAGGAGGAAGAGACTCGTGAGAATAAAAGGACATGTTCATCTTAGTTTTAAATCAGATCAGACATTAGCAAGATGTGTGTGTGTTAGAGTCTTAGCAATGTGAGATTTTAGTGAAAAGGTGGTGAAAATTAATAAGATGACAAAGGGGCACAAAGACATTCAGCAGCACAGTTGTTTTAATTTGATTTAAGCATCCTCAAAGAGCCTTTGAAATTCCCTAAAACCTCAAAATGTTCACAGTCCACTGCTCGGTAATAATTCATGCAATTGGTCTGAGAAAGCAACATGTTTCAGCTGTAGAGAACACAGCTCGGTACCTTACTCTGTGTGATGCAGACTAAATCAAAACCTGTGCAGAGTTAAATAAAAGGCTTCTGTCTGAAGTATCGTGGAACCGTCAGCTGAAGAGCACATCTGAAGCTCAGAGTATTTATAGCATCTGGTGACGGCGGGGACAATGCTCGGCTTCTTCTCAAGCTTTCTTTGTTCTTGTTTGTCAGCAAAATGAAAATGAAAAACAACCTAAGAGCTTAATAAAAATCAGGTCAGGAGGATGGGTAGTAAAAGAAAAGCTGGAGACGTTTTCTTTGCCTCTGCAACAAAACAGTGTGTGATGTGCACACGACTCCCCGTCCTTGGAGGTTTCGGAGCTCCAGCTGCGCATCAGTCTCACAAATAATGGCAGAGGAGAAACAAAGGAATTAACGCAAGCCCCTAAAACCACTACATGCTGCCTCCATAAAGGTCTCTAGGTTCTTCAGGCTGAAACAACATTTTAACAGATTGTAAACAAACAGCAGCAGAGGTCAGATGAGTCTCTCTGCACTATAACTAGAAAAGCCAACTCTTAACAGAATAAATAAGGTCCCAATCAAACAGAGTAACAGGAAACACTCATACAACTATTATAGGACCTCTCATGACTTAATTGCAAATGAAACGTGACCTTCTCCTCCAGTATGGACCAATCAGCAGCAGACTGCCCCTCACACTGTTTCCAGGCTGAATGCTGCATCAAATATTAATGGTGAGAAAAAACAAGGTTTACGTCATCGTTTTACAGTTAAAAGATGAAAAAGTTCACATTGGTATGACTGACATGGCAAATCAAGGGTTAAGAAAGGCCAGACTGAGCCAAAGTCTCCAATTATGAAGGGGTGTCCAAGACGGTGTGTTTACTATTGTAAATGCACTATCTTGAAACTTTTTTTCCCCCCATGCCCTGTCTGGCTGTGAAGCAAACAGAACTGATGTCTGAATGCTGGTAACAAGCCTTACAGATTTACTCTCAGGTGGAGCATCAAAGCATCTGCTTTAATGTCATGCCTGATACTTAAAACTTTATTAATATTGTTTTTTGAATGCTTGTTATTCCAACTAGACACAGAGACAGAGCCACTGCATCTCAGCTTTTTAAACCTGTAACGGAATGAAATGACTGTTTTCCACCACAAGTCATTCTCCCCCTCCCCTCTGACACAGAAACTAGTCTGCAAGAGATATGGCCTCAAGGTCTCATGCATTTGCTTCTAAACTGCTTCTTTCCAGCTCAAGAGATGAATGAAGAAAGGACTCTCTCCTTTTAATAAATCAAAGAACTCTATTTTTAATAAAGCTAATCAAACAAAGTGTTAGTCAATAATAAGATGTGACCAATCTGTGAAATCAAAATATAAATTACTTTATTATAATCCTATAGAATATAATAAGTAATATGACTTTAAATGTTTCCACTAGGACTGATCTCACGTAGCGTTAAGACATGACACATTGCTTTACTGATCCAATCAGAATCTGCCAGATCTGACGGAGGCGTGGTTTTGGTGGTGCTTGGTAAATCTGTCACCTTTTCATTCGACCATAAACCAAAACATCTGAAGTATAAAATTATGCCCACGTCATCTTTAACGCCAGTTCAAAGCGTTCGAGAGAAGTTGTCAGAGTGGCCAATCCGTAACTTTCCTCTTCAGCCAAAAGAACCAACGACAAGCTGGATAAAATCTGTTGCTGTTCCAACTGCTGCAACGGTAACTTTCAGAATAAAAGCTGAACCATCAAGACCCAGGTTTGGGTCTCACCAGACACCAACAAAATCGTCGTGACCCGGAAGTATCTCACAGACTGGTCTGGTCGGCAACCGCTGCTTCTTCTACCGGCTTCGATTCCAGAAAAGGTCAAGCTGGACCTCGACATTCCTGATCTAACGGGGACTTCCACCAGGGTACGTAGGCTGACGAAATGGCGTCGAAAGTGTTTATGAATCTCCTAACCAAAGCTTAGCGCGAAGACATCAC